CAGCTTTCATCGGCCCCTGCAAGGAAAAATTCGTGTCATTCATCTACGAAATGGCAACTTATTGAATGATAATTGATTGCTATCGAAAGTATTTAGTAGATTTATTGTATTCCAAGTTATTCAAAGGCATGACTTTAGTTTAAAGAATTGAAGTTTCAAGAAGAATTAAGTTTAGGTTACGATTTATAGATAAAAAGTCACTACTTCATAATAAAGATTAGAAGGATTTTTTTTAAATTAGAGACAAGTGTCACATAATTAAGCCATGTCCTACTGTAATTAAAAACGAACTGCTTCCGGGACTGAAATACTGTTTGTGCGCTTTTGATATCAACACAAAAAACTTGCGATGAAATAAGAACTTTACAAGTTAGATCTAAAGCCAATTTTTTCTTCTTTAACAATTATTAGTAAATAAAATTCTTACAAAAAGTTCTTTTAAAATTGAATCTGTGGCCGCTTTGTTCTCTCTTGGCCGATTTCGGCCTCGTCGAAAACTTGCAATACGTACAATAACTTGCAAGCAGCGTTTAAAAGTGCAAGAGATATTAAACTGCTACAATTCTAGGAATTAACACAGAGGCACTCACAATTCCTAACCCACCCGTGGCCGATGTGAAGCTGACTAGATCGGTGGTAAGCTTAGGATGCAATATCAAAGACACTAGTGGCATCCAGAAATAGTTTAATTTGAATCCAGAACGTATTATCAAAGGTAGTCGTCGTATAGAAGGATAGTTAGATATCTCTGTAAATTTTCGTTTATGCAAATGAAATATAAATATTCGTTTGTTCATAGTATATTAAACTATGCAGTCCTTCGGACAGTCATAAAGCATGCTGTAATCGGTTAACAATGCACTCGGGCATGTATTGTGTACTCTGCCTGCTTTATCTCAGTGTCATACAACGTACAAATTGTGCGACTCGGTTGTTATTCTCTAAACTAGCTATGTGCTGGGAATTACCAACTGATTTTGTACAGTGTTAAAATTTTTCTAAGCTTGGGGATATATTGTAATAAAAGTTTAAATCTTAGCTTTGACATTCGATAACTTGAAACTATTCTCCTCGTGCGATATGTGTATCTGCAATATTAATTCATTTATGCCCTTCATACGTAATTCTATCTTACCTTATATCTATTTTGTTAAATTAAATTTTTCACTGCTAGCACATTTCCTTCTGTAGAAGCCGTCAAAGGGCGAACACTTCTTTCTTCATATAAAAGTCAGTTGACTGAGCTGAAATTTTTTATACCAGTGGTACACGCTTGCTTTAGAAGGGCCTTTAATCATATATTATGGCATTTGATGTCTATCAAGCGATTCGTATGGTTAAGGCGTTATTTGAAATGAAACACAAGATTTCAATCTAGCTCGTAAAAATGTAGAGAGAAATTTGAAATTGCAATATTCGTATTTATAGTTGTACTGATACCCACAAAAAAACTTTTATTCCGCCAAACTGCGTGCCCTGTCGTATAAAACGAGGACATGTAAATCTGCTAACTGGCACTACAATAACCTAGTGAGCTCTCCTATTATCCGGTGAAAGAATAAGGTTAATAGCTTTGTCCTTTTTGAACTAAGATATCGTTTTATCAAAATTAGTGAGATCATGTAATAAATAAAAAAAAATTACATTTGTCGATCATGTTATTATCGTTTAATGGGATTAAAGAGATTATTTTTTTCTCCAGGAAAATAATATTTAAAATACAGAGAAGTCTAAGAGTGATGTTCTGAAAGTGCTCATTCATTGCTTTAAAACACCAGTCAGGGCGTCTAAATTTACACACAGGATGCTGAGGTTTCTCAGACGAGATATGATTTAGGTTTGCACGTGATTTAAAGAGAGAACCGTGTTTTACTAAATTATTATTATCATGCTTTTATTTAATGGGCGAGCATAGGTTGTTTCAGAAATTTTGAACGCAGCTGTAGCATTATTGATTTTTGTTAATCAGGTAACGGGTTCAACCGGTATTTCTTGCTGTTTTAATTGTTCTGTCGATATGGCATATTTATTTTATATGTATGCGTTTATTAATAAATTCCTGATATTCTTGGTATACTTTGGTAGGCTTTACATAAAATTATTATTTGCGTTTCTCTAATAATAGGAAAACACCCAGTATTTTCTAAATAATAATAATGAAGTAGTTTTGTCGCTGATAAAATATTTTTTAGGTATAGGTATGAATGACCTAACCAATTAATATATTTAGTTAGAACGTGAATGTCCGTATTGAATTATTAGCTTTGGTTAGCGACATTGCGGCGTAGGCTTCTATGCTAGGCTTCATTTTGGCCATCAAGTATTTCGGAAATCCGTCTTAATTTAATAATATCATAATCTCCTTGTTTGTTATTAAGTTGACTTAGTTGGTTTCGTGTTCTTCGCCGTGATGAAATTTATTATTTAGGGGGCAGAGTTGCTGGCTACATCGTAAAAGATCCGGAGTTCAAACACAGGCAGAGTCAAAACGTGTACAAATACAAGTTGTTGTTTTTTTTTTGGGGCTGGTTGTGTTGTTCTTGTTCCCGTATCTCTGACACTGCATTGTAGAATACCTGCTCACTTATAGCATAATCGTAACAGCGGTTAAAACGAGTTAGTACCTTTGTGTTATGTTAATGTATACACTTGTATCGTCATATTTGCCAGCGCGCTGTTGACAGCATCCGACAGTAATCGGAAGTTGTTTCAGTGGTCGAAATCGGCCAAGAGGACAGGACACAATCACAACTGAAAAAATATAGAAAGCGTTAACGTATGGGAATCCGTTTGTTGGTTACAAACATCTTTGTTAAGACTGTATCTAGTAATTACGTCGGCTATAACACCCTTTTTAGGAAAACGGAGATGTAATTATCGTTGTTATGCAGTAAAAAAGATGTAATAGTAGTTTATACGATTCTCCCACGAATACATAAACTATTTATACATAAATTATTTAAGTATACGATTCCAAACGTTATTATAACTAACTTTCACATTTGGGCAATAAGAAAGAAAACCGATGTGCATAATGTAAGTTAAGATTATGAATGTGGTAAACAGTTTTTAGCTTAGGACACTTAGTAAGCTTTTTACATTAGTACGTAAGTATTTCTTTTATGGTCTGTTTCGCCGCGTAGTGAGGGTGTAAGAAAATTCATTGCCCCATATCAATCCCGCAGGTGTCGTAAGAGGTGACAGTGGGAAACTGAAACAGGCCATTTGATGCAGCAACTTAGTAATAACGCAAAACTGCGGCTGTAAAACCGCTTGTCGAGCGCGACAACAATGGTAAATATCCGTCCTGTGTTGTAATTTATGGGGAGGCCTATTTTCAGCAGTGGATCTTGATAGGTTGTAACGACGATAATGATGATGATTTTTTATCATATAAGTATATATAAAATAGGTTTCTGTCGTACTAAGGATAGTTTACCATAATATGGTCAGCTCACACCGAGACGCGACGCGGTGCGCACTTTTCAAGATAGTGATACAAATTATAACTTTATTTACTACACAAAAAGATACATATTTTATTGAGATAATTCGAAAATGTCTCGCGGCGTAATACGCAGCCGTGCTTCGTCGGTAGGCGCAGCATAAAAAAGCGGTGCACTGCCAGCGACTTCATGATGTGCCTCGAGACGCCCTGCGCGGTGCGAAACCACTGGCCTCTTCAAGCACCGTCGCGTCGCGTTGCGTCGCGTCTCGGTGTGAACTGACTCTTAATCATCACCCTTCACAGGCGTATTGGTCTATAGTTTCACATCTGTTTTGGGCTCCTCTGCACTGTTTGTCGGGCTGTAACAACGCCTGCCGCATTTCTATATATTAATTAATTTATAGAAATGCGAAAATTTAAATTAATAGCATGTTTTGTTATACAAATAATTTTATGACTGGTGCCAAAAGCAAATACAATCCCGACACAGGTGCGTTATATAATATGAATCTAATTTAGGGTATATACGAGTATCGCATTTCATGCCTACTTCATATCTTAGATATTGTTCCGCATCACAGGTCTTATTTTAGATCTGACGTTTTCCAGATTATTTTTATCTTAATGATAACCAACTATGAAATGTTATCGTTGTTACGATTATGATACTGGAAACGTAAGAACAAAATAGCGAGCACATTGTGAAGCGTATTTTTGCGGCGCCACACATTAAGTGGCCGACAATTTAGTTGTTATCTCTAATAGTATCATATCCGACCAAAATCGAGAGATGTTCTCCAGTGTCGATGCACTCGCGTACCTATAGTTGAGATTGAGAGCCAAAGGCGAATGTGCTGATGCAACGGAATTGCGTGTGCCTCCTTTTTTATAGATGAGAGGGCAAACGAGAATGCGGCTCACCTGCTTCCTTGCACGCAATCTGCATTTTACAAGCTGATATTTAATCTGTGGGAACAGTATCTCATTAACGCTACTTATTTAAATATTATACTTTTTTTGCGCGCTATTGAGCTGTGCGTTTTAATTCATTTATGTTTATAATTAATGTACTTTGTATGTTATCATCGTGGCACCAATTACTATGTTAAATGGTGTCGTACTCATTCCTACATAACTATGCTATATTTTGTATAGAAATGTGGTGTCCACGTTTTAAAAAAAAACATCTGTATCTTGTTTTCACGAAATAATATTCACAATGTGGCTACATATTTGATGATTACTTTTCAACTATATTTTGCCATAATATTCACAAATTTTACGAATTATTGACGCTGTGTGAAGTAATGCAAATGATGTTTTTCTGTTCGATTTCGCATTAATAGCCGATTTAAGAATTATATGACCGTTTTCGCCACGTAATAATAATAAACGAATCGAAAGTGACAAACGGACGCGTAGACGGTAGTTGACCACTTACCACTCAGTTATCGCCGTTACTCGTCAGTTTCCCGCTACTGACCTCGTATCACCCACTTCCTCTGCTGTCCGAACGAGCTATGTACAATGTATTGTCTTTATTTGTTCGCAGGATCAATATGATAACTTAGCCGCCCACACACACAAAGGAATTGAGTTCCTAGACAAATATGGAAACTTCGTGAAGGACCGATGCGCTATTGAACTTGAGTATGCAGGAAAACTCAGGTATAGTATAGTACCTATATTTTTATATATCTTCTTCTTTCTTTTTTATCACATGCTCTCTTCTTTTACACGCAGATTTTTTATTTTTACCGTGTTTTTATTAAGTGACTTTGTTGTTTGTCTGTCTGACTATCGTTCCGGGTGGAATTTAGTAATTGATTTTAAACTAACGTACCGATGGGTTGGAAACTTGAAATTTTGAATAAAGTTCAAATTACGACGACATTGCAAGAATATGATAAAAAAACGTGAAAAATTAAAAAAAAATATTAAAGACTTTCACTTGTTTTGTAATTTGTATTATTGTTTTGTCACATCAAAAGATAAATATTGCAGCTTTTTAAACTTGTAGTTAGTGTGCAAAATTTAGTGAGTACATATTTAGTACCCTCTATTTTTAGATATTATTATATCATACCGAGTAACGATGAAATTAATTGTTGCATTAAACAAAAAAAAAATATGTAAATATGCTGCTGGCCGTATGAGGAAACTCAAGGTCGCTCAGCGAGCTATGGAGAGGGCTATGCTCGGGGTTTCTCTGCGTGATAAACTTAGAAATGAGGATATCCGCAGTAGAACCAGAGTAACTGATATAGCCCAACAGATTAGTAAGCTGAAGTGGCAATGGGCCGGCCATATAGCTCGAAGAACCGACAACCGATGGGGAAGAAAGGTTCTCGAGTGGCAACCTCGTACCGGTAGGCGAAGAGTAGGGCGACCCCCCACTAGATGGACTGACGACCTGGTAAGACATGCAGGAAGTCGATGGATGCAGGTGGCTCAGGACCGTGTTTTATGGCAGAGGAGAGGAGATTATTGTGAAGGGCTGTAATGATGATGATGGCGAAATATTGGCAGCGATCAGCACGTATGAAGTAAAATTTTTTCGTACATACGTATCAATAAAATGGGGAATGTGTATGTTACATAGTCACCTTTTACTGTAATACGCTTGGCATGTCTTTTTTCCAAGCCAGAAATTCCCTTCCCAAAGAACTCGTCAATCTGAGCACCTAAATTTCCGGTACCGCAGCGATTACTATTCATCAGCTTTAACTGTATTTCCTCTCGGAGACTTCTTTCATTTCGGAAATAGATAAAAATCTCTATTGCATCTAGTATAGGTCTGATAGGTATGAAGGATGCTCAAGTGTTTCAAAGCCAAATCTCGAATTACAGCCATCGCAACCGCGGCCTTGTGTGCCGGGGGCTTGCGATGTCGTTATCTTAGTGAAATAAAACAATCTTTGCCAGTTTGCCTCGGCGTTTCTTGCGGATTTCGTTGCGCAATTTTTTTTATTTGTTCTGTAAACAATGTGCCCGTAACGGTAGCTCTATGATCGAGATTTTCAATCATTAGTATCCCTTGACTATCCCGGAAAAAAGAGCTTATGATATTACCGGTTGATGGACTAATCTTCGTCTTCTCCACGTAGAATGTAATTGGTATTTCCGGAATGTAATGGTGGTGCCACGTTTCTTTCATTGTCAAAAAACGAGTAGAAACTTATTGCAACAGTTAAAAAAATCTGAAAATATTCTGCGCAACTGCGCATTTTAGGTAAACAGCATTTGCCTTTTCGTACCCAAGCGCTCATGTAAAATGTATTGTTCATTACCAGTCAAAACTTTGTTTCTTCAGCTTTACGTGGTAGAGCCATACTGTTGCTATATTAGTGGTATAGTTGTAGCAAGAATGGGTCGGCCCGACCGGAGAAGGACCACGCTGTCACAGAATATCAGCGTAAAATAGCAGCTTAACACTGCTGTGTTTCGTATGGTGAGTGTAGACACTCACCATACGAAACACAGCAGAAAAAGGGTCTCAGGTTCTCTAGAACCTGAGACCCTTTTTACTGGAAAAGAGGCATTCCATCTTAGTCCTCACAGGTGACAACGCGTCTGCATTTTGATTCGCAAACGAGGATAAATGTAGATGTCTATGGGCCACAGCAACCACTTATCATCAGGTGGTGTGTGCTCGTTTGTCACCCTTAACCTATAAAAAAGGCAATTATATATGTACCATGACATGATGATCTGAAACAATTTTACGATTTTTTTTAACATTTCTTCGTTACTTGCTGTCGTAGAGCGTCCTAAAGGAGGTTTTGTTTAGTGGAAGTTTTTCTACGTTCAATGTTCCCCGTACCAACGGATATCTGTAGGATACGGCGAAGCACTTACCTTTTACGTATTTTTTTGTACCGTATTGAAATTCTTTAAGCACGTCGCATAGTTCATTTTGTTCCTTTTTCAGCAATACGCTACAACGCAAACAAATTAATGATCTTCGTTTTTTTTTAAAACGTAACCAGTGTATTTTTAGGCAGCTTTTTTTTTATAGGAGAGAGTGCAAAAGAGTATGCGGCGAACCTGATGGCAAGAGACTACCGCCGCCCATGAACAACTGCAACACCAGTGGAATTGCAGATGCGTTGCCGGCCATTTAAAAAGGAGTAGGCTCTTTTCTTGAAGATCCCTAAGTTGTATCGGTCCGGAAAGATAGCTGTTGGTAATCGATTTCACAAGGAAGTTGTGCGAGAAAGAAAACTTCTTCTAAATCGCACAGTTGTGGACTGCCAATCATCCAAGTGGTATGGATGGTATCGCGATGTGCCGATGGTGAAATTGAGAGGTTGGAATTAGTTCGAACAATTCCTCAGAGCACTCCCCGTGAAAGATTCGATACAATACGCAAAGAGATGCAACATCTCTACGCAGTGCCAGTAAGTCAAGTCGATTGGAAAGAACTCGGTCGTCGACGATTCCAACCGCTCTGCGCTGGATGCGGTCAAGTGGAAGGAGCTGGCACTGGGGAGGCCCTGCCCAGAGATGGGAACAGTATTCTGTGTGGGGCCGAACCTGCGCCTTGCAAACTTGTGTCTTGTGGGGATTGAATTGAATTAGATTTAGTCGCCTCAAGTCCGAGACTTTGTTCGAGAAATATTGGCACGGCCGGTGGTTAAAGTATCACCAGTGCTGTCGTCTGCTGGTAATATTCATAGCTATTATGAGTGTTACCAGTTTGTAACATATCATTGATATGCAGAAGAAACAGCGTTGGTGATAGCACGCAGCCTTGTGGAACACCAGCGTTAATGGGCTTGTAATCGGAGCATGCACCGTCTACTACGACCTTGTACGCTTTAGAAAGAACAAGGCCGCCTTTGCCGTCTCCAGATGGTAGTGGATGGCGTTAAGGTTTGAATGAAATAACCTGATATTGCAGAAATTCACGCAAAGCGTGGCAGGGGTTGCCTTGGTCTTATTGCTCCGCTTGCCCCGAGCAGGTTTCGTCTTGAGCGGAATTTCGCCCAAAGATTACATAATGCGGGGCAACCTGAGCACCCACGCTCAGAATAATTAGGGTAACTAGGGCGTGGATTCTCAGCGAGGGATTCTCCGTCAACAGGGGTGCTGGTACCCCTTGGATTAGTCTTCTATTTAACTTCGCTACCATGTTAGGGGGGGGGGGAGGGAGTTGGGCCTCCGGCCACCTGCACTCACTTCACGCTGGTATTGTGTGAGGACGTGGTGACACCCCGCTTCGAGCCGGCCCATCCGTGCGACAGCAAAAGCTGCTGCATGGCTCTAACACTGTATATTAGAAATAATTATCAAAACCTGCAGTTTCATATTTTTTAGCTCCGAATAGTTTGCACAGCATCCACACTTGGTATAGCATAGTAGCAGCTCGGCGTCACAATTTGGCGGTGTTTCGCCAATTTTCCTCGGAAAGCACGTAAAGTCGGTTGCCGTCCCATGGAATATGAGAGTGAGGAAATAGATAGTGCACCTGTCTTTGCGCATACAATAGAATACTGTATGTTATTATAGTATTCTAAGGCGCACATAATCGTGCATTATAGTTCTGTCCTGTGTAGATGGCTACTCTCCGATGAGATTGCCCGTTGTGACTGGCATTTGGTCTGTTAGACATTATAACTTGTGTTGTTAACAAATAATCAAACTGAAAGCTAAAATTATTGTTGAAAATCTCTCTTGAATGTGAAGAACGTGCGGCGGTGCGTGAGCGTAGCGATACGTGAGATACACATTTTGAGCCGCCGCTACTCAGGGCACTGTATTGCAAGAACATAATGTGTTTGTCATGCACAATAAACGCCCAACCTCGCTGCACGCTCTGTCTATAGGTTTCCCCTTTCATACCTCGGCTAATCAAATATTATTATCTATTCTATCTATTTCGAGCTTTGCACACGTATCCCTTGCGTAACCAAGAAATATTTATAACCTCAAATTAGGTGACGGCGCTGAGGGACCGCGAATTCGGTTCGTATGGTCTACGAATATTTGTTCCGGGTCTGTATGTATATCCATGTGCAATTTAAGTTTATAAACCGCCTTCACGATACATGAGAAAATCCTAATGTGGGGGAAACATTATTTTAAATAAAGGAAAAAGAAAAAAAGATCATTGTGAACGGTTCACCTGTAAATTTATACATTAGAATTACTACATTACATAAATTCGTAAAATGATTACATTATATATTTTTAACTGTCATCTCAAAACTTACAACGAGTTTCGTAAGACACCTGCCGAAAACTTTCACTGCCTTGTTTTGTGTTGTTTATTGAATACGAAACTGAGGTTTTTTACTAAATTATACAATTCGAAAAATTTAGGAAGTTGTCTCTCAGAATGTTAAGTGTTTAGACTTTAGAGTGCAATTTGTATCTTTTACGTTGTGCATCTTTACTGTCCTATTATGTTTGTAATTATTTGCATTTTTTTTTACAGGAGGCTTGTTAAAAGTTATCAGCCAAAGAGAAAAGAAGAAGATGAATACCAGTAAGTTGTATCATTGTTATATAAATAGATAATAGTTAATAGTCATGTGTCCTATAATTAGCTCAGGGCGTTAGCCTTAAATTTAATAGAGCTCGATCCCTGTGAGAACCACTGAATTTTTTATTTGCAATTTTACCACATGTTTCAAATTTGAATGTAAAGCAAAATATTATGAAGGATTGAGCATGCCTGCAAAATTAAAAATATTTCGAGGGTATTTGAAGTCCGCTAATAGGCTGAACATGTGAGCCGAATCCCTCTCATAAATGTGAGGATACTTGTGCCTAGCAGTGAGAAGAATTTCAGCTACGATTTTATTTTTACTCAAATGAAGGTAACAAGGGTGGGTTCCTTTTATGTCGAGTCGCTGTTAAAAGGTACCCAATTTTCTTATTTCTGGCGCCAAACAGCAGACTGGATCCTCTGCTTTATGCGGCATGAAGGATTTTGAAATCAAAATAACAGACTTCAATTATTTCGTGATAGTGGGTAATAAGGCGATATTTCAACTTATCACCTGTAGCCTTCTTTGTTTGAAGTTCGTTGCACTGGTAGCTTTTTGTCAAAGTAGTGATGAAAAAAGTTACTTTAATATTCACTAAATGAACCCATTCATTGTTAAGGCATTCCACCTTACATTAAAGTGACAGCCACTTATATTCTGATTCTTTATCGAGAATAGATTATGTTAGCACTACACGTCGAACCCTCCAGCGAACCCTTCAACACTCGATGTTTATTTAATAAGGGCGACAAACGAGCACACAATCCACCTGACGGACGGTATGTGGATGCTGTGGCCCATATACATCTACATCTATCCTCTATTAAGACTCGAAATGTAGTTGCGTTGTCAGCCTTGAGAACTAAGATGCCTTGTTACTGGTAAAAATGTTCTCCGATTGTCTACATTTACCTAACAAAACACATCAGCATGAGCTGATATTTCACGCTGTTATTTTTTGAGAACGTGCTTCTTAGCCTTTCCTAGTGTAGGGTAAAGTTTTTTACAAAAAACACTAGGCATTTCTGTATAGTTGTTCTGTATAGTTTAAATGAGCATGGAAAATATGCAGAAACGAACAATTATTTATGGGTCATACAAATACTTGTACGTGCCTAAACTAGCCATGTGTCACAACGTTACAATAAATTAATACTAACGTGCAATACTCATGTAATTGCAATATACGTAAGTACACACACACACACACACATACACACATACACACACACACACACATATATATATATATGTATATTTGAAGAAAAACCAACCTCCTTGAACTATGTTTGGCCACTTACTTATTTTGTTACGTTGGTATAAAAAATTTGTAGACGCGTTATAGTAAACGATCAGCCAAATTTTATTACATGAGCCTTGAACCCATGAACCAAAACATTTCTTATTATATGTTGGCTAAAGAGTATTTGTACGTGGGTAGATCCACGCTGCACCTGTTTTATTACATTACAAATGGAGCTAGTGGTGAATTCATCAATCAATCTCGTCCACTGTGTGTCGTATAACTCAGTTTAAGATATCGCCGATCGTCCATTTTTATCCGATATTGCGTAATTCCCATCACCAGCGGATTTTATCAGACTGATACGACTTAGAGACCTTCAAAAAAGAGCCTACTCTTTTTTAAAAGGCTGGCAACGCACCGGCAATTCTCCTGGTTTTGCAGTTGTTCAAGGGCGGAGGTAGTAGTCCCTTACCATAAGACGAGCCAACGGAGCAAATACAAAGGGGAGATGGCATAAGCAACTGTGCACTGTGATTCTAACTAGGTCCTGACTTCATCACAGTGGGCGTGGCTTTACTTAGTATACTATCAGCGTTCGTCCTGTGCGAAAATCGCAAATCGGTGTATTTTAGTAGTATTAAGAAGAAAAGAATGAAGTGTTATCGTGTAAAAACTACTCAGATAGACGCTCTGATGCTATGGATGGCGTCACATTTCATTTGTAAGTAATTTTATACCTAACTTATTAAAAAGGTTCTAGAAAAATCTCTGCGTCGGCTTTCAAATGTAATTAAATATATTCGACACTAGATAGCGACATGATTGTGTCATGGGAACTAAAAATATAAAGGTACGTAGAGCTAAATAATACGAAGGTATTGAAATTTGTTTTGCATTCAGTCCTAAAGAATTTTTCGCCAAAATATTATTTTTATAGTTTTTATAATCATTTTGTGAACATGCCGCCATCTATCGTCAAGGTAACTAAACTACATAGCAACATCGATATGGAACGATGCGAGAAGTTTTACTATTTATCGGTAGATGGAAAATAGTAAAGTGGGCGGGGCTTAACATCCCCTCACCCCGCAAATTGTTACGCGTTGTTACATAGTGAAATCTTATTACAACACCTCCTCTTTGTATTTGCTTCGTGGGCGAGCCGCATGCTCCTTTGCCCCCTCTTATATATAAAACAAAATCCTATTACATATTTCAATTAAAATATCAACGACTGTTGCAAGCGTATTTTTGCATACGTAAACATTTTGTAAAATCTACAGTGTCTCAGTAAACACGCCTATTTCCAAAACAAGGTTTTATTAAGATGATGAAGAAAAACAATAATAACATGAATTTCAAAAACTTTAAATAGCAATAATAAGTAAGGCTTCCAGCTGTCCAATAGAATCCCAAAAGCAACAGTAATCTTCCATTGTAAAATTTAATAACATAGTCTCGCAAAGGTTTTGTGTTTTGCATGTTCGGCATTCCTCACAAAATCCTGCTTTGTGCGACATTCCATTCGTTGCATTAATACACTGATCACAGTGTAGCACACATTTTTAAAATATTTATTAAACTTAATATAATATTCTTCAAAAGACATCTACTTATACATTTTGGAAAGGTTTGCGAAACTTAAAAACGTTCTATGGTTAAGGTTACTATTATACTTTTTTCAACGAACTCTTTATCAGCGTCTATGCAAAGGTTCATACGTCACCTCTTCTACGGCCTGCTCGAACGCTTCTATCTTGCGGCGCTGAAATTTTTATGATAAAAAGAAGTTATTGTCTAATCAGGACTGTAAGAAAGGTGACTTAAAAACTTAATTGGTGTGCTGTCTAGGAAATCCGCCATTTCAAGCACTGAGCTCGCGTACGCGTTATGATGATGTAGCAGTATAGCCCGTGGAGCCCGCCGCTTGTTACTCTTATAGGCCAGCATTTTGTTGTATACCATTTAGCTTTATTGCTACTCCAATTTCGTGAAGGAATTGACACTAGATCCTCGACAAAGTGTAAAAACCAGTTATTAAAATATTCTCTACACTTCTCGATTGCTTTACATTGGTAAGCGTTGGTTCATTTTTAAACAGCCAAGCCGTCGACTGACGCTTCGTTTCTGGATCGTTTTGATACATCTAAGATTATTTACCTGTAATAATGTCGCCGAGACCAGCCAATTTCAATTTTAGCAATCATGTCACGGCAATATTCCACGCGGGCCTGCTTCTGAGCATCGGTGAAGTTGTGCGTTCTTTCTCACCTCTCTCCTCACGGGTGGCAACGCATCTGCATTTTGATTCGTAATCGAGGATAGATGTAAATGTCTATGGACCACAGCATCCACTATATACTGGTAGAGCCATGCTGCAGCTATATTAGTAGTATAGTTGTAGCTCGAATGGTTCGGCTCGACCGGGGAAGGACCACGCTCTCACAGAAAACCAACGTGAAATAGCAGCTTAACGCTGCTGTGTTTCGTATGGTGAGTGTAGAGAACCGGAGACCCTTTTTACTGGCAAAGAGGCCTTTCATCTTAGTCCTCACGGGTGACAACGCATCTGCATCTTGAGTCTTTATTGAGGATAGATGTAGATGTCTATGGGTCACAGTAACCACTTACCATCAGGTGGACTGTGTGCTGGTTTGTCACCCTATCCTATAAAAAAAAAAACCTTCATTCAGGTGGGCTGTATGTTCGTTTGTCACCTTTATCCTATATAAAAAAGGTTTTCGTGTAAAATCTTGTGAACGCGTCCCGAATCAAAACCACAATATATGATCAATCCCTTCATACGTAATTCGCCTCAAGCCGTCAAAGGGCGACCACTTCTTTCTTCATCTCCCAAACCCAAAGTACCGTGGTGAAATTTGTAATGCTATCGGAACACGCTTGACTTAATAAGTTAAACACCCATAAATGCCATTTGAAGCCTATCAAACGATAAATCCGGTTTTAGGCGACATTTGAAATCGTAAGAAATCATCGCGCATATATAGCAAAATATTTCAATTTTGCTCGTGAAAATGTGAAGAAAAATTTGAAATTAAAACATTCATATTTTTATATGAAAAATACAAAATAAATAATGACTGACCAGTGTCCCATACCCATACCATTAATTCCGCAAAGCGTTTTATGTGGCCTCTAAAGGTTGATAAATAAGAAGACTGTAACAACAAAATAAAGATACTTAATATGTTTTATCTCTTTCGTTGTAGATATTCAGCATGCAAAGCTTTCAGACAACTGCTGCAGGAGCTGGGCGACTTCGCGGGGCAGCGCGAAGTTGTGGCGGAGAACCTACAGTCGAACGTCGTACGAGAGTTGCATTTACTTGCCAAGGAGCTGCGAGAGGAAAGAAAGGTAGAGTTTAAGCAATGTATTATCACTTTTGGATAGGAACGGATAGGTCTTAAGATGAACATGGACAAAACAAAGATCATGTTTAATGTCCATGTCACACCTATGCCGGTAGTTGTTGGGAACACTAAGCTCGAAGTTGTTGACGAGTATGTTTACCTGGGACAAATAGTCCGACTAGGTAAGTCCAACTTCGACCGAGAGGTCAATCGACGGATTCAACTCGGTTGGGCAGCGTTCGGGAAATTACGGCACATCTTCTCGTCAGGTATACCTCAAAACTTGAAAACGAGACTGAACACCCAGTGCGTGTTGCCAGTGATGACATACGGAACTGAGACGTGGTCCTTCACTGCTGGCCGGATGAGGAAGCTCAAGGTCGCTCAGCGAGCTATGGAGAGGGCTATGCTCGGAGTTTCTCTGCGTGATAAACTCAGAAATGAGGATATCCGCAGTAGAACTAGAGTGACCGACATAGCCCAACGGATTAGTAAGCTGAAGTGGCAATGGGCCGGCCATATAGCTCGAAGAACCGACAACCGATGGGGAAGAAAGGTTCTCGAGTGGCAGCCTCGTACCGGCAGGCGAAGTGTAGGGCGTCCCCCCACTAGATGGAGTGACGACCTGGTAAGATATGCAGGAAGTCGATGGATGCAGGTGGCTCAGGACCGTGCTTTGTGGCATTCTTTGGGGGAGGCCTATGTTCAGCAGTGGACTTATGAAGGGCTGTAATGATGATGATGATGATTATCACTTTTGTTCGGCAATAATCTATAATAATAATACATATATCATTGCGTAAATGTAACTACAACCAGTGTTACTAGCTCCTTTTATCGTATCCGATGACATGATTTTTCGGCAAGTTTAAGAGATGTTTTTAGGAGTGGGAGACATGAGACTTGAAAATCATTAATTTAAATACGGTACAGCTCAATATGAACTAATTATTGTTCACTAGCGTATACTATAGAGCCAGGAATGAGGTGATAGATTTCATTCACAAATGCACAGTGTTCATTAATCTTATACAAAAACACTGAAGCATACGGAAATCACCAAGTGATACGATCCCATCTCGTTTTTCCACATTGTTATGTATGCATGCATGAACGCGTGTGTTGATGCATCTTCTGATTCAAAAGGTTGTTCCGTTAGTCCGTTATACGATTTGATAATATATTTATTCAAAATATTTCATTGGATGAATTTTCTAATATATATAAATATTGTTATATAACATTGTTAGAATATTTGTATTTGTTATTTCCTCCAATACCTTAATTTAGTTTCGTAGTAGCTTAAAAACCTTATTTATTGTTTAAAATTCGTGCTAAAACATCTTCTTTTCTTTTAACAATAGTCTTTTAAAACTGCTCACTTAGTAACAATTAAAATGTAATCAACTGGAAAGTCAAATAACTATTTGGCAGGTTTTTTTTTTTACAAAATGCGCTTGTTATAGTATCATATTGATCCCGTCTGACGTCTGGACGCTAGTGGGCCAAGGCTTTTTATAAGTGTAATTGAATGGCACAGTTGATTTAGTGCAAATGTTGTGTAACGAAACATTATTGGACTTAAAATGACTCTTGTGTATTGATTTCTTATATTTAAGCGAAGACTACACATTAAATAAAACTAAATTAAACGAATTTTATCCCATTTAATTCAACTTCTTAATTCCCGACGTTTTGGGTGCTTTACAGCACCCATGGTCACGGGGGGACTGAGGTGTTTGACGTCCCGATGTCATAGTTAGCCCGGCTACTACCTTCAGTTTTTGAATATTAATTTTTGGTCCCATCTACGAAGAGTGAGCTTGCAGTATCTTGAAGTCTTGCAGTGGTATGCTTGGGTTTGGATTTCACCAGCCACCAATCTTCTCATCACCAGTTTTCTGGCTGATCGGAGCATCAAGGTCGTAATAGACGGTGCATGCTTCAATTACAAGTCTATTAACCAGCGGGTGTTCCACAAGGCTGAGTGCTATCACCAACGCTGTTTCTTCTGCATATCAATGATATGTTGCAAAACGGTGCCATTCATTGCTATGCGGGTGACAGCACTGGTGATGCTCTATACACCGTCCGTGCCAATATTTCTCGGTAAAACATCACCGAGTACCGGGACAAACTTGTGTCTGAAGTCGAGTCTTTGCTGAACAAAGTCTCAGATTGGGGGCGACTAAATCTAGTCCAGTTTAATCCTCAGAAGACACAAGTTTACCGCTAAAAGGAACTCCTTTGTCGTATTTATTCAGTTTCAAGGCACTTCCCTTGTTGCCTCAGTCAGTATCGGAATCCTTGGCGTCGACATATAGAGTGACGTGCACTTGGAAGAGAAGGCCAAATTGGCCTCTAAAGCTTGGCATGCTCAGCAGAAGAGCGGGAAAGTATTTCATGCCGGCCCACCGCCTGCAACCTTACAAGGCGCAGGTTCAGCCTCACATGGAATACTGTTCCCATCTCTGGGCTGGGGCTCCCCAGTTCCAACTTCTTCCACTTGATCGCATCCAGCGCAAAGCGGCTCGAGTCGTCGACGACCCAGTCCTTTCCGATCGGCTCGATTCACTGGTGCTGCGAAGAGATGTTGCATCTCTTTGCGTATTTTATCGCATCTACCACGGGGAGTGCTCTGAGGAATTGTTCGGACTAATTCCAGCCACTCAATTTCACCATCGCACATCGCGACAAAACTCGCTATAACATCCATACTATCTGGATGATTGGCGGTCCACCACTGTGCGATTTAGAAGATATTTTCTTCCTCGCACAATTTCCTTGTGCAACAAATAGTTTACCACCAGCGATTTTTCCGGACCGATACGATTTAGGGACCTTCAAAAAAAGAGCCTACTCCTTTTAAAAGGCCGGCAACGCATCTGCAATTCCCCTGGTGTTGCAGTTGTTCATGGGCGGTGGTAGTCACTTGACATCAGGTGAGCCGCATGCTCATTTGCCCCCTCTCCTATAAAAATAAAATAAAAGACCGATATACGGAAGAACATTTTTTTCACTACAAAGCGAAGTATGTCCTTCGATCCGACTTACGTTTTCGTTAGAGCTATGTTCGGTGCTCACCTTACCTATAATTTTCGAGTTGGATGAACTATTTTATTTAATTAATTAATTAATTAAGTTTAAACAAAACCCTTACGGTGTGGTGTGACGCGAATCCTACTCGCAATTGTTCCATTTTATTAAATATAACCGAAACATGTAGATAGACTTTAATTTAAAACTTATTAATATTAAAAACTTATATTTTTTAATTTCAGCAACATTTGAATGAAGGCGCGAAACAGGTGGCCGTACTCAACTCAGCCATAGGAGCACTAGAAAGAGCGCGGAGAGCCTATGAGCGAGCCGCTCGAGAATCGGAAAGAGCGCTTGAAACGTTCCAGAAAGCTGACGCTGACCTCAATCTAAGGTATAAATACATGTAGTAGGGTTTAACATGCTCACCTTTTATGCTTTGTTATTCATTTTCGGCCAGGATTATTATTTGTAGTTTGCAGCCATCCTTGGGGTAGTTACTCTCAACTCGCTGGCTATTCATGATTTTCAGCTTTAAAGTGTGAATCGTAGCTTAAAGTATGTACTTAGTCTGTTTCCATTTTTTTATATTCATACAGGTATATATTGAATAAGAACCTGTTTTTAAATGTTCTTATATTTATATTATTACTCTTAGCCAGTCTTTATTTTTAGTCTGAAGCAGTTTGCTTTTAAGCATAGCCGTTTTATCATGTACACCATTAAACTTAAAAGTCCATTTCACCTTCCTTTTTGTGCTCTTTGTAGGATTTTAAAGCCGCAACCGCAGAAAGCGTTTTGTTAATTGCAGACATACATTTAGCATTTACTCATACCAGAAAAAGCGCCTAGCATTTAATGTGTCGTTAATTACTTATGTAAAATATACCTATACATTTGTATTTGTTAATAAGTTTTATGTATAAAAAAGTTTTAAATGATATATATCTATAGTCAAAACTGACTATAGATATTGATGAATATCTATTACAACACATTATAGATATTTTAACTTATGTGCGTCTAGCGATTTTTCTTGCTTCATTTTTTATTTTCTAACAACATTTGGTTGTAACTCAATGTATCTTTCTTGAAAAGCAGAGCCACAAAATTCACTACTGAGCAACGATCTCAATAAGGAATTTCATCATCATCACATTACATATTTACATTTTTACGCCTGCCACATAAACTCGGAATTCCGTTTCGATATTCTGATTCGGAATTCCGAACGCAGCAAGTTCATATAAAATCTATGATCCGTAACACACGTTCGGTAGTTTTGCATTCGAAATTTTGCGGCTAAAACGGGATTCCGTATGTATGTGGCCGGCCTTACGCAGGTTATGTTGCGGCTTTTATTCTGGATTTGATATTTAGACCTTTTCGGATGGCTGTACCACCATCAATTAAGAAGGATGAAAGTGGACATGTTTTTTTTTTAAATTATAGTAATAGGTTACAATTGTTAATCCTTAATTTAAAAGTCACGAAAGTTATAGGTGACTCAGGAAGCCCCGTATCACAATATATGTCAAGTATAAGTCACAGCAAAAAAAAAACATGAAATCGCGTCCGGGAGTACTGCCAAGAGATGCATTTGGACATCGATAATCAATTTGTTTGCTGACCCTGTTGTATGATAAATTCGCCAAACCGTGCATGAGTTTTCATGTCCAACTGTAGACTAATAACAATGTTGCATCCAGTATACAGTGGTGAAGGAAAACATCGTGAGGCCTGCATGTTTGAGGAATAAATATTTTGAGGACATGCGAAGTCCACCAATACAAATAGCTCTATAACCCTCTAAGAAAAGTTAAGGAGACTTGTACCTAGCAGTGGGACATATTTATTTGCTGTAATTTTACGTTTTACTCTTTAATCCAGTGTAGCTATATTTTTGCGGAACGCTTAACCTGACGAGTTGCAATAATTGTAATAGCGTATGCTATAATGTAATGTTCTTTCCTGCAGTCGAGCAGAGCTAGAGAAACAGAAAGCGAACGTAAAAGCTCGAAGTCAGGCTTGCGAAGAAGCGAAGCAAGAGTACACAGACCAGCTGCGTAAGACAAACGAAGCACAGAGACAGCATTACGAACAGAGGTTGCCACACGTATTCAAGCAATTACAGGTATTATTATTAACCCTGGATTTTTGATGACATTTGTTAAAATGGTACTTATGTAATAAAATATATTTGTGTTCCAACATGAAGAGTTTAACATGAAGAGAATAATCAAGGCTATCGAACATATTTTATATTAAGAATCTTATTGTCACTTTATTAGAATATGATCTTAAGTGCCATATCATGATAACGAAAAAAAGATTTGTATGAAAGGTCGTACCTGCAGGCGAAGTGTTGAGCGTCCCCCCATTAGATGGAGTGACGAACTGGTAAGATATGCAGGAAGTCAATGGATACAGGTGGCTCGGGACCGAGCTTTGTGACATTCCTTGGTGTTAGGCCTACGTTCAGCAGTGGATTTGTGAAGGGCTGTAGTGATGATGAGGATGATGATGTTGATGATGATGGCATTGTCGTCGCGCTACAAACATTATATTATTCACTGCAATTAATAAAATATCTCTTTTTCAACCGACTTCAAAAAAGAAGGGGTCCTCGATTCGACTGTAATTTTTTATGTGTTACCTCAGACTATTTTGTGGGTGAACCGATTTTGTCGATTTTTATATGAAAGCTGGAGCTTCTCACGTGGACCCATATAAATTTGATCAAGATCTTTCGTAGTTTTTGAGTTATCTCTAATAATGCTTATTTTATTGACTTCTACTACATTTATCAATAATAAGTACTTTACCTTTAAACAACAAGAAAACTTGAGTCATATTAACTTATTAAGTCTAACAATTGGGTGAAATATTTGCTCTCCGATTTGTACTTTGGCGCGTTGCCAACTGGGTCGCGTGGGATACGACAAATAGTAATGCTACGTCTATTTCCGATATATTTATAATTTTGTGTAGCATTTTACTACGGCAAGCTCATTTTTTCGTTTGTTGCGGATATTTTGTTTATATTATGTAATGTGTACGGAAACATTTTTAGACCTAAAACATTGGATATAAACAAAAAGGAGAAAATACGTAACGCCCGAACATTATATATAATAGAAAACTCGAAAACACGTAGCCCACGTACGCTGCGCACACAAACTTACCCGTGCGGAATAAGACACACTTTAATGGTAGTAGTCTATTCCGTTTCCAAAATAATAAAGCCATACAATTTTATTTCTTTAATTCGTTTTGCTTTTAAAAACTAAAAAACCATGTGTTTTTTATTTTTCTAAATGTTTGGTACATTTGTAAAATGATCAGGAAGGCATTTCTATGACTATTTAAACAAATCCTAATTATTTGTGATAATGTGTCATTTACCCACATTCTACCCATTTTACTAGAAAAGAGGCATTCTATTTTAGTCCTCACAGCTGACAACGCATCTGCATTTTGATTCGCAAGCGAAGATAGATGTAGATGTCTATGGGCCACAGTAGCCACTTCCCATCAGGTGGACTGTGTGCTCGTTTGTCACCCTTATTCTATAAAAAAAAAACATAGTTTTCGTGGTCCGCTTTTTGAAGCTTACTACTGTATCTTTCCGTTTTTGTAGGACACTTCCGATGATATCCCGGACGTCAGACTGAGTGAGATTAGAATGGCTCTCCAGCACCTGAAAAAAGTCCTTCAGAAGCTCTTTAATTCCGTCCTCCATGGTGGCACTACTCCGGAGGCGTAGAGCTGTGTGGTGGTCTTGTTCTTCAAGAAAGGTGACAACGATCTCTTGAAAAACTACAGACCTTTCCCTTCTGACCCGCGTCTACGTGCTGTTTTCTAGAGTCATTACGAATCGTCTCGTGCGCAGTCTTGACGACTTCCATCCACCCGAACAAGCTGGTTTTCGAAAAGGCTTTAGCATCATAGACCAACATACCCTTCGGCAAATTGTACAGAAGACCAAAGAGTACAATCTTGCGTATATGGACTATGAGAAAGCCTTTGATTCCGTCGAAATTTGGGCGGTGCTGCAGTCTCTTCAGCGGTGCCAAGTGCACTTTCGGTATATCGAAGTGCTGAAATGTTTGTACAGTAAGGCTACGATGGCTATCCGAGTACAGAACCAGAGTACGAAGCCTATCCAACTGCAGAGACGTCTAAGACAGGGTGAATATCCCCAAAATTCTTCACCGCTGCATTGGAAGACGTTGTCATGCTACTGTACTGGAAAGGATGCGGTATTAACGTCAACGGCGAGTACATCATTCACCTTCGATTAGCCTACGATATAGTCCTTAGGCAGAATCGCTGGAGGACCTAAGCACTATGATCAATGACCTCAATAGTGTCTCCCAACGGATAGGTCTTAAGATGAACATGCACAAAACAAAAATCATATATAACGTCTATGTCACACCTATGCCGGTAGTTGTTGGGAGCACTAAGCTGTTGACGAATATGTTTACCTGGGACAAATAGTCCGACTAGGTAAGTCCAACTTCGACCGAGAGGTCAATCGACGGATTCAAATCGGCTGGGCAGCGTTCGGGAGATTACGACACATCTTCTCGTCAGGCATACATCAAAACCTCAAAACTAGATTGTACAACCAGTGCGTGTTGCCAGTGATGACCTATGAATTTGAGACGTGGTCCTTTACTGCTGGCTGTATGAGGAAGCTCAAAGTCGCTCAGCGAGCTATAGAGAAGGCTATGCTCGGCGTTTATCTGCGTGATAGACTTAAAAACAAGGATATCTGCAGTAAAACCAGAGTAACCGACATATCCGAAAGGATTAGTAGGCTGAAGTGGCAATGGGCCAGCCATATAGCTCGAAGAACCGACAACCGATGGGGAAGAAAGGTTCTCGAGTGGTAGCCTCGTACTGGTAGGCGAAGTGAAGGGCGTCCCCCCACTGGATTCAGGAATTCAATGGATGCAGGTGGCTCAGGACCGTGTCTTGTGGCATTCCTCGGGGAGTCCTATGTTCAGCAGTGGACTTGTGAACAGCTGTAATGATGATGATCATGATGATACATTAGGATTTTCTTCCATATCGTGGAGTCATTCTACATAAATAAATTGCACATGGATAAAACATCTAGACCTAGAACAATTATTTGAAGTTCATACAAACACTTGTTCTCCGTGTAGGATTCGTACCCGCCGTCAATAGATCGATTCGAACCAATCCGTCAAAGTAGGTTTGATATAAAAGGTTATATTTATCAAAATCCACATCATCTTCTGAATCATTCCCTAAGTCAAGAAACCAAAGTAGCTTTTTTGGAATGTCTCGTTAAAATCTGCTTGGCCAAATCTTGTGATATCTCTTCACACTATCGCTGTCCTCCAGTCAGTTGGATCACGGCTGGCTTTTGACTATACAGCAGCACTATTCTTATGACCTTTCCGATGTAACTAATGCCGTTTATTCCCCTGGCGTTGTCAACTGCCACTGCGGTGTTGCAATTGTTCATAAGCGACGGTCGTCACTTACCATCAAGTGAGTCGCATGTTCGTTTGCCCTCCTTCTATTTAAAGCTTATCAGATAATCCAAAACAAAAATACAAACTCTAAAACCAATTATCTACGTTTTACACTTTAAAAACTGGCTTTGGTGGAATTTGAAACCCTTTATAATAATTTTAGGCGTTTTTTTTATTTATTTTTATTTATTAGGATCAACAAACAGTTTGCACAATATTTCTTAATCTAGAATACATTTACTACAAAAATATAATATAATAGTGCAACTAACAACGTTGACCACCAATTACTATTAATAAAAGCTGAGATTGAGATTAGCGCATTTTTCATCTGATACAATGTTTGTCTTCAACTAATAAAATGATGAAAATAATTATTATTCCAATAACCAATTACACAAAGTCATTCTCCTCTGAGTACTGAAAGTAACTTAGGCTTGTAAGCGACTCATAGGCAAGGTGATTTTTAATTTAATATTCCAATTACATATATCTTACAGGATTTGGACGAAAAGAGGATAAAAAACATAAAGAACTTCATGTTGAGTTCTGTGGACGTCGAAAGGAAAGTGTTCCCCATAATAATGCAGTGCCTTGACGGAATGGAGTTAGCGGCGAATAGTATTAATGAAAAAGAGGTATTCATTATGTTTTTTAATCAAATTGATATTAATTTAAAACGCAGGTATTTATAATATTCATATGTCTTTTATTAGAGAAATAGACGAATAAATATCAAATGTGAGTTAACCATACATTGAACTCGAGTTTTTTAAATAGTTAAAGTCTCGTCTTACTCAATACTCGAACAAATTACGGTAACCCAATGTTAAGATTTGAAGGTGCGCAACTTTATAACAAATTACCCGCACACATAAAAAATGTTAACTCGTTCAACGCATTCAAGAAACAATTGTATGAATATCTTGTTGCAAATGACTCACATAAATAATCGTGAATGCGTTGCGCGGGTGAAGTTTGTGTGTTTTTGGTGAAATTAATTTGGCGTAAGACTGGAATTTACTGTCTTTTGAATTTATTGTCTTAATGAGTAATAAAGATCTTTTAAACCTAAAGTAGTCACTTCCAAGTATGGAGTAAAGAGATAAAGAAGACAATTCTCTGGGGCATTCCCAAATCTTATGGGGCTTACTAAAAAAAACTATAATATAGCAATTCAATAAACTACTAAGCTACAACTTTACACTTTTTTATTATTTTGTAATCTATATTAAGTAAAAGATATTCAATTCCATTATTGATGAAACGAGTTCTAAAATTATGTACTTTCAAAAGGCACTATATTCTGCCCTATTCCGTCAACTTTTGATTAAAACAAAATTTTAGTAGATAGAAGAAATATCATATTTATTGTTCGATTAAACTTATAACATTAAAAATTCTTTCATAGGACACGCAGTTAGTAATAGAAAGGTACAAATCTGGTTTTGCGCCGCCGGAGGAATTCAGATTCGAGGCGATGTCTGGTGGCGAAGTAGCAGAGGTGGTGCCGCAAAATCACCTCACCGCCGCGCGAGGCACAGTCTCCGGACACAGGATCAAGAAACGAGGTGGACTTCTCTCCATATTCAGTTCCAACAAGGTGAGACACTGCACTCCCGACCGGTCTCGGAAAGAGAGAGAAAGATATCACTAACAAGGTGATCCACACTGCACTCCCGATAGACCACAGGCAAGACGCAATATAGTCAATTTTAGAATAGGCGTTATTTTAGCGGCTGATTTGTTTTCTATATTACTAGAACTGAATGAACGGTTGATAATAAATCCTTTGCCAAATTATGTTTTTATTTTCATTTTGTTTAGTTACTTATACCAGTTGAATATTTTCCAGTGCTAATTAAATATTTAAGCCTCGCAAATGAACCAACATACCCAATGTTATAACCCGAGCAAAATCCGTACTGTATTTACGAATAAAAACGTAGATAGACCAACGCAGAGTCAATCTTGGTTGTATAAAGCTTGCGTCTAAGGCCTAGGTATTGACTGATACATTTATTTATTGTATGGCATTGTATTAATATGATACATAAATTGAAAGGACGTTAGAGGTAGGCCTGGGTATAGAATTTTATTGATATATTTTATAACACTGTCTTATCTCTATTATTAATTCCGTGAACGATCACTTCTGCTATCAGCGCCAAAATGGCTAAAATCAAATCGCCTCATTGTGTTACGGTGTATATCCAGTCCATATATAGAGGTCAGTGAGGTATGTTGAATACGTGTAGAGGTGGATACGATATGATTGCGTGGTGACAAGTCACGAGTCTGCCAGCCAGTATCCACCATGTCTCGAAACACAACTGTCGTGTGCACCACCACTGCGGCACTTCTCACTGCGCAACACATTAAATAAAAACACAATAAGAAAAAGAAAAGTTAGAGGGAACGTGTTCGCCATGTTCACATCCGTTTTGAGCAACCAAAGCCGACTGGCGGTGACTCGCCGCGAGAGACACGCGTGCTAAAATTGTATACGTGTTGCTGCAGGTACGGGCTAGAGTTCCTGTGTACGCGTAGCCGACTACGCGTACATTGGAACGCTTAGTCCGTACAAGGCTTTAGAGACTGTTCCCAATATTATGTAGATTCATCTTTTAGTTTAAACGCAGCCTTTAAAACAAAATCAAACGTATTATAATAAAGAGTTTTAGGAGTGTAAATGTCTTTCCAAATTTACTACAATTTGCAAAGGAATTTTAAATTATTTAGTGTGCTTGCTTTTAACATATATGATTTTATGAATTATGCATATATTATTTGTATGCATGTTTGGGAAATATATTTTTTTGTCCATGACATTATTTTATCAAGTATTTTTTATGACCTATCTTCTAGAATACAAGAATTATTTGTCTGAATGCCGTTTTGTATTTTATTTATATGCTTTGGAGATGGAGATACTAATGTGTTTTTATTTTTTGTTATCCCCGTTCGATCCATACCTAACACGGGTTACATAACAACCAATTGATTATATTGGCTGGCGGCGACCGATGTCCCATCACACGGAAAAAGTAAGTCTCCCCGTGGGGACGTAAGTTTTTAGCATGCGCCATATAACTTCATTAATTTCTGCCATTTATTCCTTTTAAACTTTTACACACATATTATTATTTGTATACATTAAACTCACGTACTTACTGTATATAAAATCAGTGTTTCAGTAAACATTTTTATGTCCTGATTAAAGATTTTTGCTTAGCTTTGGACTCTCCAATACATCGGTGCAAGTCCTTGTTTCCGTTCGTTTATTTTTTTATTTAATTTTGTTTGTTTGCCTTCATCCTGTCCCGACCACGTCTAACGCTTTGGCTACAGAGGATAATTGAGGCGTGCAACTCCTTCAAGGTCAGTTACTTCTGAGACTGATGGTTTGGTTACGGTTGAGTGTGTTGTTAATGCTAGACACATTGTATTGATTTATCACTATATCTCTTAATTATATCTATTTAAAGTCGGTCCACAAAAGGTATATGGTTTTACATTTTATGATATTGCAGTTGTACTTACGGTTGTATATTTATTAGAATTACCTTTACTTGCACGTACATAATTCTTACGTGTTGTGTTATTTAGCTACTTTTAAAACAGGTTTAAATTGTGCTCATATTACTATACAATAATTAATAAAAAGTTTGTTAGCATCACTGAAATTTTGCTAGTTTTTAACATGAGGTATTTTATATGGATTATATTTTATTATTGTAGATCAAATATTTTAAATCATATAGAGTATCCGTGGCACATAAGAACAAAAATAAAAAAGTTCATTTTCACTACACATATTTTTTAATTAACCATTGGTAAAATCTACGTCGAGACCAACTGACTCTGGTGTTGCATCGCTTATTCTATGCATTTGCGACAGTACATCTCTAAATGAATAAGAAATACGAGATTCACATTTGTGCTATAAACACTTTTAGTAAGGGCTAGAAGGATATTTTTGTAAATTATTGCTTTATGATGTATCAGACATTTGAATGCATCTCATTTTTGTGAATTGCACAATAAAGTGATAGAATTGTTACAGATGCTAATAAAATTGTGTTGATTTTAGAACAACATGTCGATGGACGGAAAGGAGGATTATTCAGATTTGCCACCAAATCAGAAGAAAAAGAAACTACAGGCCAAGGTCCACGAGTTAAACAAACAGGTAATAACATTACGCATTATAATTTCCCTAAAATGTTTGTCGATGGTTTTGTATATTAATTATCAAAGAGAAAAAAGTAACCAATCTGAGTGTTGTTACTGCGCATACGATATATTTGATATGCATGTTTTTCATAGTACTTACTAATCACTAAGTGAACAATAGGTTAAATTATAATTATCTTCGCAACTATTAATGGGTCTTGTACTAGAAATATGTTGTTTATGGGTTAGTAATGACTAGTAAATTCAATAATTAAAAATAAATAATAATAAAACAATAATTCTTTTACACATTTAGTGGGATGATTAATCTTAAAAAAAGCGTCGGTGGTTAATAAAAATAGAAATAAATTATCGGTGCCATCAATACTCCAGAACAATACAAATTTATAAGCCTATTATACTGACACCTTCATATATCAGAGTGCTTGGGCTTTACAAGAGCAAATTGGACACAAAATGTTATTAATCAAGGCTTAGAAAATAATAATGAATTTAAAATGTTGTTACAGGTGGCACAAGAACAAGCTGCAATGGAAGGTCTTATGAAGATGAAGGGTGTATATGAAACAAATCCTACGTTAGGGGACCCGATGACTGTAGAAGGTTTGATATTATGATTTATTTGAAGTTTGCCTTTTTTTAAGACATTATATATTTGAAATGAAAAAAAAATGAGTTTATTACTCTATTATATATTATTTACTTAAATCTTTTTTCATATAAATTAACACGCTAATTTTTTTAATAATTTTACTATCCGATAAAGTTAATATACTGTAACACAGCTTAGTGATCAAAGTTAAGGGTTCTAAGGTCGAATCCCACATGTTGCTGTTCACTCTTTTCAAGCAAAAATAAAAATAGTTACTTATGATTGTTAGAGTGTCCCTGACAGGCAATCCAGACAACACCATATTTAATCACATAAGTGTTACCAAAGTAAATAGTTAATCCCTCTATGTTGGTTTGACATTTGGCAGCGATGCTGCGGGCCTCCATAATACAAGACTTATGCAAATAAAAGAAAACGTTGTGGCCATGGTGGATAACGGAGTGCACAATCATTTCATAGATACACTTAACTTCTTTATATTAATTATAAGAAGAACAAAATATGGCTACTGCAGTTCATGGATACTTATAAACAACTTCAAACAATTAAGCCCACAGATGTGTGCCACAGACTCCTGAGCACGAATGTGAAATACCTCAAAGCCAGTTTTTATGCTGACTTCCTTATCACTCTCTTTAAAGAGTTGTTAAGTAAGCATTTCTGTAGATATTGTGTAGGAATATAGTGTATATTTTTAAATATTAAAAATATAATTAAATAAAATTGAATATCACACAAACTTTTGATACTACTAAAAGTAGTAAATTTAAATTATATTGTGCAGTAATTTATTAGTGATGGTATCAACCCAATACTCACATATCATTCGCTTGCCGAGTAGTGTATATGCACGAACTAGCATCCTTTAGCGTCACGTCTCTTTCCACAATAACAATAAGGTATTTATATTTTTACTAGGCCAACTAAACGAATGCTGCGATAAACTAAAGAAACTGCGAGCACAGTTACGGAAATATGAAGAACTATTAGCTGAGGCGAACAGTCAGTTGTGCGCACCACCGATACACCCTGCTTCACGAACTAATGGTTCCGCCCCACCCGCGCAGGCTATCAGGTTTGTAATGATTTATGTATTGCACGCCTCATAACGCGAATATTTATTAGGTAGTGCTTTACTCTCGACAAGTCAAGGTCAAGTAATTTTGTGTTCTTAAAATGCCTCATACGATAATATGAGTTGCCGTATATCAAGAAAACACTAATTAATCTATCTTATATTTCCTAAAATATCATTTTATGTTGGTATTTTGAAAAAAAAAACAGTTTGAAAAAAATTTGACGTGGACGTCCGGATGTTGATTTTGTATGTGGTCACGATAACTCCCGAAAAGACCGGGTTTTTTTATTAACTTCAGAATTACATCAACTGGTTCCCTATTTTGAAATCAATAGCCTAGTACGCGTAGTTTGTTAATAAAATGATTTTCACCTTTTATAAGTTTTTTTGCTATTAAAAATTTTAAGGCGCTTTAGTGGTGTAGTATAATTTAAAATAATAAGTGTACTATTATTAAATAGGAATTAACAACGAATTAAGAGTAAGCGGTTAACGTAGGTACAAAAACTTCGATAATTCAGAAGAAAATTGTTTTGTGATAGTGCATAGCTCTTCACGATGCTACAGCTATATTATGGTTGTAGCACGAATGGGTCGGCTAAACCGCGGAAGGACCATGCTCTTACAGGATACCAGCGTAAAGTAGCAGCTTAATGCTGCATGTTTAGTATAGTTAGTGTAGGGAACTGGAGATATTCTGGAAGTGAGGTATTCTTAGTCCTCCTCAGAGTGACACAACGCATCTACATTTTTATTCTTAATCGAGGATAGTTGTGGATGTTTTTGGATCACAGCATTCATTTATTTATTAAGGCTTTATTTGCGCACCAAGTACAAAAAGGCGGACTTAATGCAACAAGGCATTCCCTACCAGTCTACCTTAAGGCTAAGTGGAGAAGATATTATGGGCGCAGAGTCCAAACAAATACGTTAAAAATATTAACTAACTACATAGAAAGATACATATTATAAATATAATTATATAAAGATTACCTTACCTTTAGATTTTTTTTTAAATGTTGTATTGTCTGCTATCTTCTCTAACCACTGTAGTTGTAGTGTAACACAGGCTCGGCACGCACTTAACTAAACACGTCCACTCTCGCCCGAGGCTCTCGTGTAACTGACGCGGTGCGCTCGAGACTGTGACATATATATATATGCAAACACTACATCTCTTTCTTATCAAGATTTTTTTCTTTTTTTTATTATAACTCAACAATTACGAGGGTGGATTGAAAAGTACTCGGCCTAACACAGATCCATTCAATTCTAAAAATCAAATCTAGCCACATTATTTAGTTCAGTTCAGACTAGTTCATTGTGTGAAGTTCGAAACGTGTGCGATAATTAGTTGTGATTTTATAAATTTATTAACAAAGTAATCGGACATAATTTCCGCGAATGGAGCAAATCGAGCAGCGTGCCGTCATTAAGTACCTCCATAAGAAGGGGCTATCATCAAAAGCCATCCATGATGACATGGTCAGTACATTAAACGATTGTGCTCTGTCATATTCATTCGTCAAAAAATGGATAGCAGAATTTAAGCGTGGTAGAGAGAGTGTGAAAGATGAACCCCGCTCTGGAAGGCCTTCGACGTCAACTACTGACGAAAATATTAAAAAAGTACTTGATTTTTGTGTAAAGTACTTGATGTGTGTGTGTGTATGTGTGATGGAGCATGAATGTATAAGCCCAAGACTCCTCTGGATTAGGTTAAAAGTCGGACTCACTCGCTTGTTTATCCTTGGGGTCTATGCACCAATGGATCTGCGTGGAGGTGGGTCCATAAAAACACAACAAGAGAGAGAGGAATTTTGGGATAGCATGAGAGAGGTCTTGAATAAATGCGGAGAAAATGAACGGATCGTGATGTTAGGGGACTTTAATGGATGGGTTGGAGTAAAGCGTGATGGGTATGAAGGAGTTCTGGGTACGTTTGGGGACGAGAGAGTGAATGACAATGGGAGAAGCCTGCTTGAAGTATGCTTGGAATGGAATCTGTGCGTGGCCAACACAATGTTTGACCACAAAAAGATCCATTTGTATACAAGAGATGAGGGTGAGTCTAGAAGTATGATTGATTTTGTAATTGTGGATGAAAGACTGAGGAAGAAAGTGCTAGACACTCGGGCATACCGCGGTGTAGGCCTCGACACAGACCACTTCCTGGTCATAGCCCGAATGCGTGGCCTCTTTAAACGGTGGCGACACCGAGTGGCCGAGCCTACGAGTGTTTTGGACAGAGTAAAAGTGGAAAATCTACAAGAAGAAGAAAAGAAAGACGAGTATGTAGAGAAACTGAAAGAAAGTTTTAAAGGGATAGAAGAGATAGGAGTGATTGAAGATTTGTGGGAGACATTTAAGAAAGGGGTCGTAAATGTTGCTATCGAGGTATGCGGGGTAGCTAAAAGAAGGAAAGGAAGAAAGAATGATAACGTGTGGACGGATAAAGATGTACAAAAGGTTGTGCAAGAAAAGAAGAAAGCGTGGTTGGATTTGGTTAGCAACAAAAGCTAACCAAAAAGTTCAAAAGGCAACGGATGACGAGATAAAGGAAGCAAGAACGAAGTATAAAAGATTGAAAACAGCAGCGAAAGAAATTGTGTCTAGAAAGAAAGAAGAACGAAAGGATGATTTCGATAGGAGGCTCACTGAAGATTTCCAGTCAAACATTAAGTTTTTCTGGAAAACCATCAAAACAGCCAGAGGAAAAACTTCTACCTCTGAGCTGAGTACAATCAGGAGTCAAGATGGGAGCATTATAAAAGGAGAAGAATGTGTGTTAAAGAGATGGAAAGAGTATTTTGAAAGTTTGTTTGAAAGAGAGGAAGTGCAGGTACAGCATCTGCCACCTTCCACGGAAACTAATATAAATGTTGATGAAAATGAGATAAGCATGGATGAAATAGTGAAAGCGTTGAAAAGTATGAGATTAGGTAAGGCTGCAGGGTATGACAGGATTACCGTCGAGATGCTGAGGGCTGGACAGGGCCTGGTGGCTAGTCAGCTGTACCGCCTTTTCAATCTGTGCTGGCGAAATGGGCAAGTACCGGGAGACTGGTGCAAAGCCGTAATCGTGCCATTGTATAAGGGAAAAGGGTCACGGCAGGACTGCATGAATTACCGCGGTATAAGCCTTCTCAGCGTCGTCGGTAAATTGTATGCGAAAGTGTTGATTGAAAGGATTGTGAATGAAACAGACAAGAAAGTATGGGATGCACAAGCGGGATTTAGAAAGGGAATGGGATGTACGGATCAGGTCTTTTCCTTGCGGTGCATAGCCGAAAAGTATTTGGCTAAAAACAAGAGAGTCTACTGCGCGTTCGTAGATCTAGAAAAGGCCTATGATAGAGTGGTGAGGAATGAATTGTGGTCAGCACTGTCCGTGAACGGTGTGAGCAGTATCCTCATACGAGCAATGCAATCTCTTTATAGGGATTCTAGTGCTTGTGTAAGGATAAACGGGGCATACACTGAATGGTTTAATATCGAAAAAGGTGTTAGACAGGGATGTGTAGCGTCACCGTGGCTGTTTAATCTGTTCATGGACAATTGTTTGACAGATTTAAAAGAGAATGAAAGTGGGTTGAGAATGAATGAGTTACTCGTCAAATGTTTTCTCTATGCTGATGACCAAGTATTACTTGCGTCTTCGGCCGAGGAGTTGCAGGAGATGGTAACTGCTATGAGTGGAGCTTTTGTTAGAAAGGGAATGAAGATGAATGTAAGGAAGACGAAAGTGATGGTGTTTGAAAAAGATGAGGCAGTGACAGACTGCAATATCGTGATTGAAGATGAACAAATTGAACAGGTGAAAGAGTTTGTGTATCTGGGTTCAAAGTTTACAAGAGATGGAAAGTGTGAGAGTGATATCGAAAGAAGAGTGAATGCAGGAAACATGGTGAATGGAGCTTTGCACTCCTTTATGAGCAGTCGGAAGGTGTCTAACAAAGCTCGTTTGGCTGTGCATGAGGGGGTGTTGGTTCCGACACTCATGTACGGAAGTGAAACTTGGGTATGGCAGAAGAAACATGAAAGCAGAATAAATGCAGTTGAGATGAGAGTATTAAGAAGTATGATAGGAGTTAAACTGAGTGACAGGCTAAGAAATAGTGAGGTAAGGAAACGTTGTGGTCTGAAAGAAGATGTAGTGACAAAAATTGAGAAAGGTATGCTGAGATGGTTTGGCCATGTCGAGAGAATGAATGAGGAACGATTGACGAAAAAAGTGTATAAGGCGAGTGTGAATGAAAGTGTTGGAAGGGGTAGACCTAGGCGGACATTTCTAGACCAAATCAGGGACGTCTTGAAAAAAGGCCAGGTCAAGAGTACCCTAAACCGTAGAGCATGTATGAAGGGAATAATGAAAGTGGACGAAGCAAAACAAGTATGTAAGGATCGTAGCAAGTGGAAAGAACTGGTCTCTGCCTACCCCTACGGGAAAGAGGCGTGATTATATGTATGTATGTATGTTGATTTAATAATGGGAGACCGCAGATTAAAAATTAGAGAGATAGCCGAGATTATAGGCATCTCTTATGAACGAACTCAAAACATCATTGTCAACGAGTTGGGTTTCCACAAGGTGTCTGCGAGGTGGGTTCCGCGACTGCTTTCAGTTGAACAAAAAAGGACGCGATTGACTATTTCACGCGACTGTTTGGAGTTATTTGAAGCCGATGCAGATGATTTTTTGAATCGTTTTGTTACTATGGACGAAACATGGGTTCATTACTGTACACCGGAAACAAAACAACAATCAAAACAGTGGAAAAGACCTGGTTCACCACCCTCTAAAAAGGCTAAGTCGATTTTGTCGGCAAATAAGGTGATGGCTTCAGTATTCTGGGACTCGAAAGGTGTGATTATGATTGATTATCTTGAAAGGGGTCAGAATATAAACTCTGATTACTACTGCACCTTCCTACGTCGTTTACGAGAGGAAATAAAAGAAAAACGTCGAGGAATGCTCAGAAGAAAAGTCCTGTTTC